CAGCCATCATTGTTGTTTGGCGGGTCCAGGCTGGGGATTTGAACCCGCCACCTTAGGTGTACGTGGCTGGCGCCTTAGCCCGTTGAGCTATAGGCGCCGAGCCCAGTTTCACTTCTTGATAGAAATTTAATCCAAGTTCTGGTTTTATTTTGAGAAGATCAAATTCATGTGCATCCTCCATGTGGACATACAATTTCTCGATTGCTTCTGCTTGCTTTTCACAAAATCAGCAGACAGCAGAGGCAGGGTGTTCTTCCCAATCAGACCAGTCCTCTTCCTGATGGTCTAGCAACTCCCGATCATCTTCCAGCTGAACTTCTTCCCATGATTTTCCGAGTTCCAAGTAATTGATGACATAAAATCGGTCATATTCTCTGTTCTTAGGATTGATCCTATGATGCTGTTTTATCCTCATGTGATCTTTAAGTGTATTTTTGTCCCTAAAGGTTTTCTCACAGTACAAACACTGCAAACTGTCAAGCTTTTTCTGTAACATACACAGAAATTCATTGCAATTTACAATGTTGTCTGGCAATCCAATGTTGAAAGCATGTTCTCTGGCCATGTGGTTCAAAAGAACAGATCTGTTTCTGAGGAATTCTCCATTGCAAAACATACAAATGCCATGGAAATTGGTATCATTTCATTCTTGCTGCTGCTGTTCTAGAATTTCTTTCAGTCTTTGTTTCTGAAGCTCCTCGCTAAGAATTCTATCTTCTGGTAAAACATCACATAACAAAAAATAATTTTCTTGTTCTTCAAATGGAGCTGTGAAATTGATTCTTATCACACTACAGAAATCTGTGATGGGTTGTTCAGCAAACCTTTTCTTCCAATATAAAATGTACCTTTGGAAATTGGCAACCAACTTGACATCAGCTATGACAAACCTGTGCTCAATAATCATGTGCTTTAGAAGTTTGTCTTTTCAGCCACAGGAAAATGTTCTTCACAGAAAATACAAGGCACAGATGGAGAACCTTCTAAAGTGGTGGTGCCACCTGGACTTTCTGGCAGGGAAAGCGGCTCTAGGATACAATCCTTACTGTCTGACCCACCTCGACCCAGAGTGAGCGCAAAGCTTGGGGTCCAAAACGGAAGACAGACGCCCAAGGAGCTTCCACTGAAGTTCCATTTTCTCCCGTGTCCTCCTTTTCATTCATTTCAAAAATCTTTTTTTTTTTTT